CCTGGGAACTGAAGTCCACTCCTGTGCAACAGCAGTCAGTCACCCTAACTGCTGAGCTAACCCTGTAACCCCCTTTTATCTTTATTTTTTTATTTGAATCCCTATAAGGGGAACATGTTAGGATATAGTAAAGGTCACTTGAAGGATGATCCTTTTAGACAGACTTGTGCAACCTTTTAGACTTTCCTTGGGTTGATATTGTTCATTCAATTAGTAGATATTGAGGTGTCCACAAAGCATGGGGCCTCATCCTGTAGATGCTAACAGTGCAGAATAAACTGGTGTTCTGTTATCACAGTCCGTCTAATCCAGCGTGTAACACAACCCACAGAAAGTCGGTAAGAATGCAGCAGATAGCTCACAATATTGGTTGACATGAAGCAAGGCCTGATGATGTCTATAATGTTAGTGTTTGAGAGCGGTCACCAGAGGAGCCCGCCTTCAAGTTCAGTCTTGAGGACCTGAGTATTTGTTCGCCTGTCATCTCTTTCATATAGAGTTAAGCTATGGGCAACCATTTTCTCTGGGTTACCCTGTGCATAGATAGCACTAACGTTTAGAACGGGGTGAGTGTCACAGGAGCTATGCTATAGATGTGACTCAAGGAAGGGAAGGAGCCAGTTCTGGGAAGTCATCATCCCACTGGCCATCGACATGGTGGTCAACCTTAGGCTACAAACATGACAGTTAATACCATGGATGATACCTCCTAGGGATACTGTGGTCATCTTAGTTTATCCAAGTACCGTCTGTGATGTTCCCACATGACACAATCTGCCTAAGGATTGCTTCTCAGGACATAGTCCCAATGCTGGGCTCTGCATGACTGTAACCCTCAAATGAGTCTGGGAAGATCAGAGGTTTCTAGAGCCATCTGTGAGGTAAACGTCATGAGGGAGACAGACCATCCTGCATCTGAGGGTGGGGGTGGAGTAGTTGTTGTTGTGAATTGTGTGACAAGCTTTTGTATCCTCTTCCAAGCATAGAACACCGAACATCTGCCTTGAGTTTGGGCTTTACTCAGGAAAGCAATTGACTCCGGTGTGAGGGATAGAGAACTGCTCCACGGGTGATGTGAGGAGGCATGTCAGGGGTCAAAGAGTGGTGGTAGAGATGAAGATCCATGAGAAGAGGTGTGTTCTGGTCCATAGGATTTCCCATGTTTTTGACAAGGGGAACAACACAGACCAAGGGTGAAGGGGAGCACCTGGCTTCAGGATAGGCTGTGTCCCTCACTGAGGCAGGGGATTTGGAGTTGGAGCTCAGTCCTCAGGATCTCTTCTATGATACTAAGAAGTGCTCTGACCACCATTGCCTTGGTGGAGGCGTTGTGAGCATATGGACTACTGTCCTGCCTTGGTTATTAGACAACTGGAAAGAATGACAGGATGTTTTTGACCTTCGGTGAACATTAATTCCAAGTGTGCTAAAGCAGCACTATCACAGATCAAACACACTCATGTTAGTAGCCGGGACACCGCAATCAATGGCTGTCCTGGAAACACAGGGAATAAGCTCCATGGCTCTGAATCAGAGGGAAATGATCATTGCATGCAGTGTGGCTCCTAGGGTGTTGGACTGTTTTCCTCTAGAAACCCTGGGTTTAGATGAGTAGACACTACCTGCTGTATGCTTTCCTTTCAGTGAGGGCAACCACTGGAGTTTTCCCAGGACCTAAGCAAGTTTCTTTAGTTGTTGTTCATGTTTTTTTATTTGAAGTCTAGATTGTTTTTTGACTCTTCACAAACCTCTTCTTGCTCACAGGCCACTGTGAACCAACCCTCTTTATGCACTGGACACTCATTATGAAAAACAAGGGAATTTGGAAGTGCACACTTCAAGGCTGTCCCTTGTTTTAGATGAGGAATTTCATACAAACGGAGAACACTGCAAAAAGTTTGCCCTCTTGGCTAAATGCTCAAAAGCCCAAACTGGAATCCTGTGGAGCACCTGTGAAATGAAAGCCCCAGTCTTTGTCCTTGTAACACACAGAGGCTGAACATGAGGACAGTCAAGAGTGAGGGCGGGTTATTCTTCATGCCATTTGTTGGACAGGGTTTGTTGTCTGTCATGTGTTTACCACTTGACTTACTTACAATGGGAGGAGCTGATATTTCGAGTGAAGAGCTCAGTGATGACCTGGACACACAGAGAGTAGGTATAGGCTCATTCATTGGGGAGCTGGAGAAGTAGTGAGGGGCTAGGGTGTGGCTCCTTGGAAGAGCAAGACTGTGCATGCCCAAGGCCTCAGATTCCATCTTTAACACTGGAGAGAAGAAATGCATGCTAGAGTAGGCTCGAAGTTTACAAAATTAGAATCAAATGTAAAAAATCACACATTTTATTTTAAATGTGAAATATGTTTTATCTACATAGTTTAGTGATGGTCCAAGAAGTTTTGCTAATCTTTCCTGTCTCGTCACCAAATACTGTACTTCTTCATACCCCAGGGTTGGATCATCCATGTTAATGGACTTGTGCCTCCTTGCCTCCTAACCTATATGGCTGCATACTTAGGAGAGAGATATTTTCCGAAAAAACAAATAGCTGTAGAAATTTACCAAATATGTAAATATGAAGCAAAGTTTAAAATAACATATAATCTCATCACCTAGAGTGGTTACTACAGATATGTTGGTACATTATTAGCTTTCCCTCTTTGCCCCTTTAGTGTAGACTTGTACATGTTAAAATTAAGAAATATTATAAAATGGGGCTGAGAAGATGGGTCAGTTGGTAAAATGCCTGACCCACAAGTTTGAGGGCCTGAACTTTGATGCCCAGCACCCAACATAAAAAGCCAGTTGTAACACCGTGTACCTGTAATCTCATTACCAGGGCAACAGAGACAGGAGGATCCCTGGGGCTTTCTGGCCAGCCAGTCCAGTTGAATTGCTAAATTCTAGGTTCAATTATTGATCTGACTTTATTAGAATCAAAAGACATAGAAGGTTAGCCTAGGGCTTCCACTTCTGCTTATGTGTACACACACATGCAGGCACACACACACACACACACACACACACACACACGTGTAGAGTACCTGTGGGACACATACACATAGAAATGATAAATAAAAGGTATTCAAATATCACAAATAATGATTCTTACCTTACAGCTACACAGAACCTCTTTCTTTATGTTTGCTCCTTAGAAATATGTTAGAAACTGTATTTTTTTTTGCCTCCTTTTCAAGAGGGTCCTGAAAATAAGTCACTCAGTATATCTGCTCTTTCTTAAGCAACATGCGTTTTCCTCATAAACTTGTAGGGAGAGATTCAGTTGAGGCAGAGTAGATCTTTCTTGTTATGTATCCAGGTGGAAAATACATCATTAAAACAGCGGTTAGTGTCTTCTGCTTGAAGTGAACAGTATCCTGCCCTACTGTTAGCTAGCACTTTACCATAGGGCTCTTGTTTCTCACTTGAGTTCTAGAAGAACATTTCAGCTCGTCTCATTTCTGTGTCAGTGTGTAGCACACATTACTGAACTATCAAGTATTGGCCCTGACTTAAGATGTTGAGCCATTTTAAATATCTGGACCGTGCCCTTTCTTGAAGTGACCACCATGCCTTGTCTATTTATAGATCCAAGGGTAACTTTGGGTGAACTTAAGGTGATATTCATCTGCCAGCCACATTTTACCACTCAGTGGGAACCCCCTTGTGCTCTCAGACTTGAATCTTTGCTTGTTAATGGTATTCTGGTTTTTAAAATATCTCAAGATGATCTCAGACTTGGTTGGTTATGTTACAGGAATCTCTCCTTGTTTGTAGGACTTCCTCCTTGTTTGTGGTCCTGGGGATAAACGTAGGGCCTCGTTCATTAAAACATGTGCTCTGTCACTGAGCTAAGGTGTTTCCCCTCTATTAATACAGAATTTCTCATGCTGAATCTCCCTGGTCAATTTATAAACAAAGGAGGGACTGGAGGGATGGCTCAGTGGTTAAGAGAGTCGCTGGTCTTCCAGAGAACAAAGTTCAGTTCTGATCACCTACATCAGTGGCTCACAACCTCTTGGATCCAGAACTCCATTGGATCCAGAGCTCTCTTGTGATTACTGGGGCACCTGCACATATGTGCCTATATCTCACACAGACACATAGATAATAAAACAAATCTTTTTAAAAACTAGAAGGTGGATTCTACCTGTAACAATGCCTTGATCTTATCATAATTCAGGTATTGTGTTTTTGTGATATTTTGTCTTGCCTGTTTAGTTAGAACAAAAAGTAAAGATTAAGGCCTCTGTCTCAGGCATCTTTTTATCTTCTGCAGGCCTAGCATAGAATCCAAGAATCAAAGAAATTCATTAGCAATTTATAATATACTCATAAGAGATAGAAAAGCTATAGATCATTTATTATGAAATTGGCAGAATGTTATAAAAGTGACAGAATATCCACTTATTCTGGCATCCATTCTGCTTGTGTGTGTATGTGTGTGTGTGTGTGCATGTGTCCACATACATGTGAGTTGGAACCTGTACACAAGCATGCTTATGCTTATGGAGACCAGAGGTTGGTATCTGATGTCCTTCTCACCTACTCTCAGCTCACTTTTATGACTTGGTCTCTTCCTGACCCTGGAGCTTGCTGATTGGCTAGAGTGTTGTTCAGAAAAAACTCCAGGATCTCCATATCCTTAGTACGATTTGATTCCTGTGCTGACATTTTGGTAGGAGCCCAGGTACTCAGGTACTTGGGTACTCGGGCATGGAGAGTAACTACTTTATTAACTGAACCTTCTCCTCAGCCAGGTTCTGGTATTTTTGATAAACAAATAGCAATTGCTTTTCATTGCTAAAGAAAATCTGAGAGAAGGTAGGTGTGTGTGTGTGTGTGTGTGTGTGTGTGTGTGTGTGTGTGTGTGTGTGTGTGTGCCTTCCCTGTCACCACCAAACCTGTAGTTGATCTAGTTCCCTGACCAGAAGAGCACTGTTCACTGAAACATGGCCGCCGTCTCATTTCTGCTGTGTCTTACTGTGGTGTTCCTCTCAGGGACTCCCGAGAGCCTTGCTGAAAAGGAACGGCAGCTCATGGGGATGATCAACCAGCTGACCAGTCTTCGAGAGCAACTCCTGGCTGCCCACGATGAGCAGAAGAAACTGGCTGCATCACAGATAGAGAAACAGCGCCAGCAGATGGAGCTGGCCAAGCAGCAGCAGGAGCAGGTGAGAGAGACTGGGGACCAGGGCATCCTCAGCCAGCTGCTGTCTCTCCTTGGTAAATACTGTTCTCAGTAGAGGGAGATAGGGAAAATTCCCTCCCATTCCCAGTCCCTGGCAAGTAAAGGAAAAAGGAGAAAGCAAGCGCACACCCTCCCACCCACACCTAAAGAAACGGTGTAACTGCTTTGGTTGAACCATAGAAGTGGGGTGGATATGAACATGAGAGAGTGATTTGTAGGGAAGAGGGAAAGGTACACGGGTAGTAAGGAGATGGCAGGTAGTGTAGACAGGGGTAGTAAGGAGATGGCGGGTAGTGTAGACAGGGGTAGTAAGGAGATGGCGAGTAGTGTAGACAGGGGTAGTAGGGAGATGGCTGGTAGTGTAGACAGGGTGTAGGGAGATGGCTGGTAGTGTAGATAGGGTGTAGGGAGATGGCTGGTAGTGTAGACAGGAGTAGTAGGGAAATGGCTGGTAGTGTAGACAGTAGTAGTAGGGAGATGGCAATAATGAGAGATGAGAGTGGTCAGTGTAACACCCTGTAGCTGTGTAAAAATACACACACACTCACACACATTCACACATGTGCACACACAGACACACTCATACACACTCTCACAGACACACACTCTCACAGACACACACTCACACATTAATCAATATGTTGTATAATGATGGAAAGTTTGGAAAATATTTACTGTAGGAACATTTTGAGAAAGAATGGCTAATAATGGTGGCAGCTGAGCTCTCTTTAAAGAATGGATGGGGTTCAGTCAGGGAAGTAGGGTTCTAATGGGGAGCCAGGAAGTTACTGATGTTGCTCTTACAAAAACATTGATGTTTAACCTAAGGGAGACCCTAAGCCAGACGGCGTGGCTAGTGACTGTAAACAGAGAGAGGAAGACTGAATGGGGAGTCGTGTTTCATAGGGTCTGTTGAGTGAGCAGAACGAAGGCAGCTAATAAATGTTGACCCCGGATTGAAATGCAAATGGAATGAAGGTTTGACTTGAATGAAGAAATATCCTGGCAACATGATTTGGATGATATGGGGTGTTCGCCACTCACTCACCTTCTTTGCCTGGTACTTTACTGTTTCATGAAAAAAATAGTCTGCTTTTTAGGGGGGAAGCTTGTTAATGATTTTATTTTTCTTTTCCCAACTTATTTCTCCTCCTCCTCTCTCTCCTCCTCCCCCTCTTCCTCTTCCTCTTCATCATCATTTTGATGTGTATTCCAGGCATCCTGTACTGTTAGTCCTCTTGTCTCAGTTGCCTGAATGCTGGGATTGCAAAGATATACCACTGTATCCATTATTATATTTTAATTTTGGTGAAATGCCTTAACACTTCCCTTTGAGTGTATTTGTACTATTATTGGATGCATCTATATTCTTGCTTTAGCCTTGTGAAAAGCTCTGACAACTCCTATAACTGTAACAGGCCAGCTCTGTCCTTGAATTGCCAGTGCCATCAGCAAGTCACAATGCAGCCCAGATGAGGGGACCCTACTGCAGAGGTCCCCCTGCTTGCTTTGAAGGACCTGAGGGCAGCTCGTTCTTTTGAACAAGAAATGGGTTTCTCTGCTCATTCCATCATATAATCTAGACCATCTGTGAGTGTCATCAGTAGATTCTAGAATGTTTTCTTTCCCTGAGATCTCTGGCATTCTTCTTGGATCCTTAGAAACTAGTCCTGAGGTCTTCCCTGAGCACTCTTCGGTGCTGGAGATGCCAGGCACTTCTGTCTCCTCAGCCTGATGAGGTCACTCTGCAGAGGCACAGGTCAGGACTTGGGCACCCAGGAAGCTGTGGTCACCTCTCTGTAGCAGCCGTAGGCATCCCCACTCTGCATTCATTCACAGGTCCTCTTCACTCCTCCTAAGGCTGGAGTCAGGAGCTCTGGAGTCAGCTCAGCCTATAAAGTGTTTGACTCCTGTGTATGAGTGTCTGAGTCCAGTCTCAGGTGTGGGAATACATGTATGTACTCCCAGAGTTGAGACAAGTGGTTCGCTGAGGTCCATTGGTCAGTCAGCCTAGTCTACTTGGCAAGTTGCAGAACAATGAAAGATGTGTTTTCAGAAATATGGTAGACAGAATTTGAGGAAAGACAGCCAATATTGTCCTGGCCTATACACACAGAGAGAGAGGGAGAGAAAGAGAGAGCAGATAGAGAGAGGGAGGCAGGTAGGTAGAGGGAGGGAGGGGAGAGAGAGAGAGGAAGAGGGAGAGATGGAGTAAAAACTCTTTTATTCTGACCCTACTTACTGTGTAGTTCCCAATCAGCCTGGATGCCAACCCTCTGCATGTGCTAATTGACACAGCTCTTACAAACATTGGGGTATATTTACCCATCATCTCAGCCTTCTCAACATGCTCTGAGCTCTAGTCCATGGCTATCTGCTCAAAGAATCTGTATCGATCAGGTTCTGACCTAGGTATTAGAAGATGAGAAGGATGTAAAAATCCCCCAGTGGGCTACAAGTCATTTTTATGAGTGTTGAAAAGTACCAAGCAGGGGATTGCAAGTGGGGGTCCAGATGCAGTCATGCTTTGTTAAAGCTGCTGCCTGGGGGAAGACTGACTAGGTAAGACTAGAGCAGAATTGTGTAGAAGGTGAGGGAGCAAGATTCATGGCCACCCAGCCAGGGGGGTGGGTCCCAATAGGAGGCCATAGCAAGTGCAAAGGCTCAGATGCAGAGATTGCCCTGGCGCATGCTCAGTGTGTTAGAGAGGAAGGTGGCGGGAGGAGATGAAAGGGGAGAAGCAGGAGACCAAACTCTATGGGCTACAGTCACGAGGTGGTGGCTGCCTTGTACTCTTGAGTGGGGCAGAAGGGTTTTGAAAAGATGAATAGAGTGGCATGCTATGTCTTTAAAAATATATCTGTGGACACTGGCTTATAATAGACTGAGAGAAGACAGGGTAGAAACCAAAGGACAACAAATAAGAGGTTGTTACATCCATCTAGCTTAGAGCAGGAGCCAGGAGGGCAGGGCAGAAGCGGTCAGGTTCTTGACATATTCTTGTGGTGTCTCTGAAAGGAATGAGGCGTCAAATGAAGCAATTCTATGTGAGAGACAATAAGCAAACTTTAGTGAGTAAAAATTCTTTTAAAAAACACCTCTCTCCTTACCTTGCTTCAGAAGGAAGGAAATGGAAGCTTTATGCTCTAGCAATGAGGGCAGGAAGGTAGCATTTGCTGTTCTGTAGCCAAGAAGGAATAGCATAGTCCCTTACGCAATCACAGAGAGGAGGCCCTTCATTTTTCCTTTCACCTTTAACTTTCTAATGGAGAATTTAAAGGGGATATTTATGTAATAAAATGATAGGAGAATCCAGTGTTCCTTGGAAGAATAAGATGCAGAGTTACCCATCACAGTGGTAAGCTTCAGGAGATCAGAGGTTGCTTCTCCAGGATTCCACTAGAACCCACAGTTTTGTTTTGTTTTAATCTCATCTCCACACCTCCTGGTTTTAGCAAATAGACACTCATCTTGGCAAATATGCACATGGTTTACCTTTGCTGCATTCTTAGGTGTTTCCTATGAATAGGAAGTTCTTTTAAAAAATAGATAGAAAACCACATGGAGCCATAGCTTGGGGTATGGTACTGAGTTCACATAGATAGAATGGAGTACAAGTAGGTGGGTTGCCACTGCTCTTCCCTGAGGTGGAAAGCCCCCAAGGACATCATATGCAGGTCTAAAGCTCAACTAATTTTAGGCCTGTTGAAGCTGGAGCATCCTTGAGTATGTGTGTGCATAGATGGGTCTGAAGCTTGAAACAAAAGTTTTGGTAATGAGAATGAACACAGAACCAGTTGGCACATGTATGAAACAGACCAAGAGTGAAGAGAATAGCATTATGTTAGGCCTTTGAAGACTGCCACATTTAATTTGGTATGGAATCAAAAGAGAACGGCAGGTCATAGAGCAAAGAGAAAAAGTTCAAGACCAAAAGCGTTGGAGGGTGGGTTCCTGATGAGACTGAAAGGGCGGGGATCTTAACACATTCTGAATGGGAGAAAGAGAAGTGACTGGTGACCCTGGGAGAGAGAAGTGTACAGATTATAAGAATGAAGGCTGTTCAAGAACTTTGTGGGAGGCCCAAATGAGAATATTACCTACAGCAAACAAAACAACCAAAACTTCATTGAGGAATCTACTGTCCTTGATACCTTGTGATAGTAGAAACTTTGGTCCCAGAAGCCCACTTTTACAACAGAACACTTTGTTTATAGATGACAATGCCAATAGAGGGACCTGTGGAGAATAATAATGGAAAACCTACCATGTCTTACTGTGATGGAGGTGTTGTTTAGTCTTACGCTAGGTGTAAGTGGTCACTGAGACGAAATGTCTTGTTTGATCGGCTGACAGTTCAGCTCATGGAGGGGTGGTGTGTGCATCTTCTCAGCCAGCATCACATCCAACTTGGATGTGTAGAAGGTTGATCGTCCCCACCCTGGGTTTTACTGTGGTGTCATTGTTCTCTGTGTTTCTCCACAGATCGCGAGGCAGCAGCAGCAGCTTCTGCAGCAACAACACAAAATCAACTTGCTTCAGCAACAGATCCAGGTCAGAAACCAGTATTTCAACATCCCCCCTTTTAAAGAGAGACTGTCCTTTCTTGGCCTTGTGGGATTTAATGGAAATGACCCCCAAGCTGGAAGTACTTTTTGGCCCAGTTCTCGCTATGTTGTCTGTGTGATTCCACTTTCAAGTGGTGATGCTGTCACAAGCGGTGGCCTTGTCAGGTAGCATCCATCTGAGCAGGCTGCCAGCAGCTTTTACCTTCTACCTAGAAGGGATCATTAGAGTGCTGTTTCACTCCTTTATGCTTTCGTGTGGAAGATGAGCCTGAAAACATCCCTAATGGGGTAGACACAAGGACACAGCAGAAGGTGCAGCTCGGTTTGGGTTAGAAGCTCAGAGCTTCTCTTGGCAGCTTCTTGTAGTCAGAGTGAGGCATGGAGAAGGTGATGAATCGGTGTGTGGCAGGTCTCATGGCTGGATTGCTTGGCGAAATCAAGTCCATTTTTATTCTATGCGGATCCACAATGTTAAAGGACCTTGATAAGGGAGACACCTTCGTGAATGATGAAATTAATTATCAGAGGAGACTTATTCTATAATATGTACTAAGGACATGGATCTTGACTGAATTCTTTCCTCTCCATTTTGAAGCCCCCTTTCCTGGTAGCACTTGGAGATTCAAAGTTTAAGTGATGCCATCAGTAGAGTGTAGCACAGGAGTCTTGAGAGATATAATCACATCATCCCACTGTTCTTTAGGCTGAGACAAGATGCCCAAGAGTTCCAGGCTTGCTTGGGGTTACATGAGACCCTGTCTCAAAAAAAAAAAAAAAAAAAAAGGCAACAACCATGAACTTTCATAGTGTCAGGACATACAAAGTCTGCTGGGCACCTAAATCCTGCCATCCAAGAATGGGAACCCAGTGCTCAGACTTAATGTGGTATCTACCTGCAAGTAACAGTTCAGTTCAGGATTTTATTTTTTTCATATTTGGGTAGAAATTCATCATTCTCTTGAACTTTTCTATTGGGGATATAATAGTTTATACTGTCAATGTTACAGAAGCAGATGTAGAAACTATTTCATTCAGCTTACAGTTGTGGCTTTAATTTATTTACTAACCACATTTCTTCCATTTTTATCTGATTGGGTCAATTACTGAGGCTTTATCCTAGGAGGTGTGGACCAGTGTTTATTCTTCCTCAGTCCATCTTAGGCAAGAACTTTCCATAGTTTAAACTGCATTTTCTGTCTGAAAATTCTTATCTAACAGTCTGATCTCTGTCTCTGTTTCTTTAAAATGCAGCTGTACCACCTTGTAGAAACCAACAGGCATTATTCATCTTGTTGTACATTTTGAGCTGTCTTGTACCTTTGTTGTTGCTTCCTCACAAAGCAATGAATTCCAGTTTCTATGTTGTGGAACATTGAGCTAAACAGTTATCTTAGCCACAATTACGCTGTCCTGAAACTCTTTGTTTTAGTTTCAGTTACTAAAGGCATTCAACTGGTCTACCTACCAAGAAAGCATTTTCCATTCTCCCTGGGTTAGATAGCTCTACTCAGTGAAGTAGACTGATTTTGAAGACTTACAGCTAGATAGCTTTACACAGGACTGGCATGTTACATGACAAAACGATGACTTGTTCAGCGTTTCCCTTTGCTTTCAGTGTAGTCTCTCTGAAGGTAAGGTCAGTTTAGGCATCTCCCCCCCCCATTTGAAATATATTTTTCAATTAAAGGAAATGGGTGCAATTTTGCATTTATGCACAAACATCCACATTAAAATGACTCTTGACCTGTGAATTTTACCTCCTCTACCCTTTGTGAACAGAATGAAGGTATGTTATTCTCTGGAGTTGCTTATTCTGAGGGAAAAGCCCACCCAGATTAGCATATGAAATTGTTTCCTTAAATCACTCAGGGTCAGCTCTTTGTGAAATGACTTCATGGCTCTCAAAAGCAACATTTGCTCTGAAATTCATGATTTTAATTGGATTGAATATTCTTTTTATATATTTTGTGATAGATGCTCAACAGGGTCACCATCCTCTGGCAGGACTATTCACAGGACTCATTGGAGTTAAAAGAAGAATTAGAGGTTTCTGTTCTGATCTCTATAGACAAAATGCTGTCATAAGATCAGAACCATTCATTTCCCCTCAAGTACATGCCCAGGTCCTTAAGAGAACTGATGCTGGGACTGCAGAAGTTCCAGCTTCTTTTCTACCCGGCAGCAGTATCTTCTAAGATGCTCACCTATTAGCCTTAAAAGAATGAGAGTTTTTATTCCCACCTGTTGTGTCCAGCCCTTAATGTACCTTAATATATGAAATGGCATTTATAAAGATTGCAGAAAAAAAGCTGTCTTCCCAGGTTTACTTTTAAAGGAGAAACCTCTGTTGTTATTGGCTTTTCTTTTTTCCTCTATTTGAACTTTCCAAAGTAATAACTTTTTAGCAACGTATTTCCTGATTTCCTTTTTTACAGTGAGTCACTTTAGGTCCGATGTGGACCATGCTCTGTGTTTCACATAATGAACCAAGGCTGGCGGTCCATCTTGACCCGACTGGCTACATGAAAACCTTTCAGGGAGGAGAATAAGTAACCTCCACTCTGCTTCTCTATGACAACAAATTGAGTGTCCTCAGAGAGGCACGTTTCTTTTCTTGTTGGAACGTCTGAGGAGATGGAGTTTCTGTAGCTTTGGGGGAGGTGTTTAGAGGCTTGCTTTAGTTTATGTTTTTGCCTGTTTTTAACAGTACTGGATAGAGTGTATGGTGTATGGGTTTTCTTGTCTATGCAGAGTGTTAATCCAACAGCTTGTTCTTGTATGAAATCCTTTAATATATTTTAAGATAGCCTATTGATTCTCAGATGTATTTGTCTCATGGTTCCCATATGGGACTTTTAAGTTTGAACTTTAAGAGAGTCGCGTAAATTACCCCCTATCCCACTCTGATCAGCTTCTAAACTATTGTTCGTTATGTTCTCTTGGGGAAAAAGAATTAGTCATTTATAACTCACTGTTAGGGTTTCTGGCCCACAAGGTAAGCAAGCAGAATTAGTCACAGCTCTGGCTCATTGACTCTGCCCAGGGCTACATGGGAGGGAAGGAAGTACTGTGTCACCTGGTGTTCCCACTGGGCAGTGAGCATTCCAGTCTACACCACTGGGCAGTGAGCATCCCAGTCTACACCACAGAAAGAGACTCCGCCCCTTAGGTTATGCCTCCAATGGTTTCTCTGAAAAGAACTGTTCCTGTCTGAACTGCCCTCATACCAGCCTTCACACCCACATGCCTTGTTATACCAGTGACACTGAGACCTGGCTTTTGTCCTCCAGGGTTCTTCATTCTCAGCTGTAAAATGGGAATCCTGATACCTCAGTAGGGACACATCTGTGGACAGTCATCAGGAGGGAGAAAAATGTGTTCTCTCAGTATTGCCAGAGCCAGGTAGCTTAGGGTTTTTTCTAGCCATGTATTGATTTTGGGGAACACACACACACAGACATGCACACATCACATACATACCCATACACAATCACACTCACATAAATGTGCCCTCACACATACTCACATACATGTATGCACAGAGATACTCAAGCATACACACATGCACACAGATTTGTATCCATGTTTGCATCTATATACGCACTCACACAGAGACACAGTTATACACACAGTCACTCACATAATGTACACATGCTCATAGTCACACAGGTATACACACATATATACTCACACCATATATACACAGACATACACACACAGAGAGAGAGAAATACACACCCACTTGTAGACACACACATATAGAAAGGTACATAGCCATGCATAGAAATTCATGCATAGACATATATATACACACATAAATATATGTACACACAAAAATATACACATGTACATGTCACATATATATACATACATACGTGTGTATTTATATATATACAGATGTACACATGCACACACATATAGACAAGCATATATTTATATGCATGCATTACACATGAAGACACATCTGTACACATGTCCATACATGCACACATGAAGACAATCCACATGGGTCATCACTGAAACTGAGGCTACAACTTTCCAGATCCGTGGGATTTGAAAACTTGAAGGGGTTTTCAAAAAGTTCACATTTGAACCCATGACTCATTATCCCATTTGTGGTCTGAAACACTTACTATGTGACAGGAAGTTGGGATAGTGGCTACTTCTAAACATCACGAGTTTTGACCCCATTCATTTTAAATTCTACCAATATCCTACAATTTAATGCTTAATGATCCATCTTTGAAAATGACCCCCCCACTACCACCAGGAAATTAAACTTTGAAAATAAAATTCAAGTTGACTTAGGTGCAACTGAATGATTAAAGTTGCAGTCATGGGCTCAACCAATTTGTGATAACGGCTTCGTTTTATTGGAGCCAAAGTTCTCTGAGCTCATTAGAATTTGGGTAATTCTTGATAAATTATTATGCAGAAAGAAATGTACTGAAATAGTGTATTGAAAATATAATAATGTTAGTGGTGACATAAGCGTGCTTGGCTGGCCTGCTGATTTATGATTTCTTTCCCTGAGTGTGGTAAGTCAGAGGCATTTTACTCCCCTCAATAAGACCCCCGCATACATGAGCACAAAGAGGTTACAAGGTAACCTTGTCTCTTTGGGAGACTGGAAATGCCAAGAATAAACAGCAGGCCATTAAGGTAGCATTTGAACCTGAGAAGGGAATTCATTAACCCTTTGAGTTCCTGCTAAGTCTGTGCTGCTCAAAGTACAAATCCCATGACTGGATGGGTGTGTACGTTCCTGACATTGAGAACAAGAAACTAGAAGAAGGCACAGGGATGTAGAAACCAGCTCTTCCATCTTTTACTTTGTGGAAACAGAGCTGCTTGAGCAGGAAGGTGGTACGTCCTGACAGAGAGGCACAGGGAGCTGACTGACTGCAGGTCAACAGTTCTGGGCTTTTCCTCAGAAGATATGCCTGGAGCCCTTGTGAGATTTCTATGGATGGATCTCCTGGCCAT